CATTACTGGGTGGTCAGACACTGAAGATACCCGACAGCCATATACACTCTCTCTAGGTAGAACAAAGGGTGGTGCCTATGGAGAATGGTCAAATGGAGCCTCTAAGGCTTAGCTTTGCCTCAGGACAGCTATCGCTGTGCCAATCCTTTACAAGGATACCTTGATCTCCCTACGAAGGGTATACCCTAAACCCGGGGTCGGAAGCCCTCTACGGTCATCCTGACTTAAAATAGCACAGGATTGCCTTTAACAGCCCTTGGTGCCTCCCTGGTGCCTCCCAGGCTGTCCAACTGGTCCTTTCCTGCCTCCCTGGTGCCTCCCAGGCTGTCCAATTAGTCCCTTCCTGCCTCCCTGGTGCGTCCCAGGCTGTCCAATTGGTCCTTTCCTGCCTCCCTGATGCTTCCCAGGCTGTCCAAATGGTCCTTTCCTGCCTTTTGGTGCCTCCCTGGTGCCTCTCAGGTTGTCCAAATGGTCCTTTCCGCCTAAACCGGCAACCGCTCAGCTGCCACGCGGCCGAGACGCCCTAAGCCCTTAACCCTAAACCCTAAATTCCCACCCGGCCTGCTTAGGCCGTTCCCACCCATAACTGGGTGGCCAGACACTGAAGATACCGGGCAGCCCAACACACCAGCTCATGGTAGAACAATGGGTGGTGCCATTGAAGACTGGTCTAATAAAGCCTCAAAGCTTAGCTTTGCCTCAGGACAGCTATCGCTGTGCCAATCCTTCACAAGAATACCTTGATATTCCCTTAGAAGGTAAATACCCTAAAACCACCCGGTGAAGCCCTCCACCGTCCTCGTAGCACAGGATTGCGTTTAACAGCCCGTGGTGCCTCCCTGTTGCCTCCCAAGCTTTCCAATTGGTCCTTTCCTGCCTCCCTGGTGCCTCCTAGGCTGTCCACTTGGTCTCTTCCTGCCTCCCTGGTGCCTCAGGCTGTCCAATTGGTCCTTTCCTGCCTCCCTGGTGCCTCCCCGAACTGTGCAATTGGTCCTGTCCTGCCCCCCTGGTGCCTCCCAGGCTGTCCAATTCACCCTTTCCTGCCTCCCTGGTGCCTCCCTGGTGCCCCGCAGGCTGTCCAGTAAGTCCTTTCCTGCCTCCCTGGCGCCTCCCAGGCTGTCCGCTTGGTCCTTTCCTGCCTCTCTGGTGCGTCCCCCGTTGTCCAATGAGTCCTTTCCTGCCCCCCTGGCAGATTATTGGAATCAATTAGTCTTGCCTTCGCAGATTAATGGAATCATCCGGTCGTGGAAATTTAGGGCGGAGCCCTAAACCCTAAAAGGCGGAAATTTGGTTGGTAGCCTGCCACACCTGGCGGCGGGTGGGAATGTCTTTTACCACCACAAGTCTTTTGGTGTAAAAAACAACCGACAACGATAAGCTCAAATGCCACCACCCCCTCTTTTTTCAAAGAAAAGGGGGTGGTGCCATCTTCGCATGTGATCATCAACTGCCACGCGGCCGAGACGCCCTATAACCCTAAACCCTAAGGGAAGGAAAGGATCAATTGGACAGCCTGCGAGGCACCAGGGAGGCAGGAAAGGACCATTTGGAGTCTGAGAGACACCAGGGAAGGACCATTTGGACAGCCTGAGAGGCACCAGGGAGGCAGGGAAAGACTCAGTGGATAGCTTGTGAGGCACCAGAGAGGCGCCTGCGAGGCACAGGAAGGCAGGGAGAAACAACTTAGACAGCTTGCAAGGCACCAGGGAGGCAGGAAAGGATCTTTTCAGAGGCACCAGAGAGGCACCAGGGGGGCAGGAAAGAGCCATTTGGACAGCCTGGGAGACACCAGGGAGGCAGGAAAGCATCAATTTAGACAGCCTGGGAGGCACCAGGGAGGAAAGGATCAATTGGACAGCCTGCAAGGCACCAGGGAGGTACCAGGGAAAGAACCACTTTGGACAGCCTCGGAGGCACCAGGGAGGCACGTGGGAGACTTGTAGCACAGGATTGTAGCACAGGATAATGCTGCTGAAGGCACCAGGAAGGCAGGAAAGGACTTCTGCGAGGCACAGGGAGGCAGGAAAGGATCAATTGGACAGCCTGCGAGGTACAGGGAGGCAGGGAAGAACAATTTCGTGATGGTATGCAAATCCATCTCTGCACCAAAATGGCACGAACCAGGGCAACAATGTATTTGAAGAATGTAGCCTGAAAACGTGCCTCATGTGCCGTATAAATAAATAGCATTGTTCTACATACAATAAAACCTACTTTTGCAAAGGCTTTGCTGCACAAAAAACTGCAAAAGGAAAACGTTTGCAACGATGAAGGCTTTACTAAAAGAACATGTGTGCAGAAAATGAGCAGCGCTGGAAACAAACTCTTGATGAAATCGCTGAATGCCCTGCTCAGATAGAGAGAGCATCTAAGTACCAACTTGCATGCGCTCCACAAACCGTTGCTGTGACAGTAGGGAGCGCAACATGACAAGCTGAAAGGAACACCAGCAGCAAAGGCTGCAGCATAGGATGGAAAACTGGACAAACTGTCATGATCTGTCGTCTGTGACTCAAGCTGCAAATGCTTGGATGATTCGATATGCTTGGTCACCGGTGAAATCCTGCCTAGCTAAATCTCAAAGCTCAAAAGGCGGAACACCCTCAGAGGACGGCAGCAGCTGTTCCAGCAGGATGAGCAACTCCGTCTGCTCGGTGACACCCTTCAGAGGCCACCCACCAAGAGCGCAAACCATGCACCACAACGCGACCAGGACCAGGGCACCAGGGCAGGAGTGCAACAACCCAGCCAAAACAATTCATCACACCAGTGAAGGGCGATCAGCTCACCACAGCGGCCACGGCAGCAGCCGAGGCCGGTGTGCCAGGAGACCGGAACCAGGTCCGCCGCCGGCGCTGCAGGGAGCCGGCCGCAGCGCGGCAGAGAACAATGGCAATCTTGCGAACCATGTCGGCGAACACCAGCTCGGAGTCGCACTCCTCAGCGGCGCCAACCCGACGAGCAAGAGCATGCAACACACTGCCAGTTTCACTGCAGAGACCTCCCTGGGCTTCAAAAACTAGGGGCTGGTAGAAGCCTGCCGCGGCACACTTGGCTGCTGTCTGTTGGTGAGCACGTTTGCTGGCGGCGTAGGCACTCGAAGCAGCCCCAGGCGACTCAAAGGTCTTTGGCCAATGGGACGGCCCAGTGGCGTTGATCACGGCAATGTCCAAGGCTGTCTGCGGCAAATGGTGTGGTTGGCTTCCATCAGGCAGCCGGTCGGCAAGGCCGGCCCCATGGCACACCAGGAGGTCAGCAGGCCGGCGACGGCCTTCAGGGATGGCAAGATCCTGAAGGACCCCAGGGGCCTCAGCTGTAGGCCGCATACCAGCTCGTTCACAATAGTCCTGTACAACATGTCTTGCAGGAGAGCGCATGGCGGCCCAAGCGATCCATAGGAAGACCACACATCCCACAAGGCAGAGTACCATCGCAAGAATCGACACCCAAGCGGGAGGCCACACACGTGGTGAACTCGGCTGGTGAGAGGTGTAAGTCAAGTGCTCGAGAAGGAACTGTCTCAAAGAGGTGGCCCGCCAAAGGGGCAGAGTAGGAATGAAGTCGACAAACGTCATCAGGGGGAGCGGCTTGTTTCCAGAGGGCCAAGGTTGCAGCTTCACACAAACGGCTAAGCTTCCGCTGGGTCAGGGCACGGTCACGCTCCCCAACATTGACCAAGGTGGCAATTCCACCACGCTGCAGGTGTGCATTCAACCGGCAACTTGCAGTATCCAGGGGGCTGCCCGGATGGGCTACATCCCAATGGAAAAGTGGCCAATTGTCAAGGCACAGCTGGTGGGTCTGGGCCCGGGAACCAATGTAGGCCGCATCAGCCACAGATTCAGCAGAGCGAAGTCCACAACCACCATGACGAAGAGGTAGTGCGGTTTGGGCGCGCTGTTGGTCAGAGAGAACCAGGCCAGAAATGCGGCCGAAGGAGCGAAGCACAGCATCATCGAAGTGGGCCACGCCTCCCCGGCAAAGCTGCAGGGGGGTGGTGCGAGCCATGTGAATCATCCTGGAAGAGTTGCACGACCAATGCAACAGGTACGAAGCGACCTGCGGGTCGGGCAAATTGGCAACCTCCAGCACAGCCCCGCGTCAAAGCGAACCCTTCACAAAAGGCCGCAGGCCCAACTGGACATTTGAGGATGTCGGCCCCACCGGAAGGGCTGACGGAACATCCGGCAGCCACGAAGGGGGCCCAGTCAACCGTGTGGTTGGCCCCGGCGGGGGCCGCAACTTCCAGAGACGAGAAGGTGAGGCCCAAAGAGGGCATCACCTGCTGCATGTGCCGCAGGGCGCGAAGAACTTCCCCAGCGGGCCCAGCAAGTATGCCATCATCCGCATAGCAGGGCGCCATGTCGAGGCGCGCGGGTGGATCCAGGAGGGGCACCGAAACCGCCGATCCTGGAAGCACTGGCAGGACCCCGATACTTTCGAGCAGCAACCGCTGCACCACACCATGGCAAGCCATCATCAGCGGGCAGCCCTGCTGCCCGCCAGCAGCAGAATCCAGGATGCGCCCATTGTAGAAGACCTTGGTGGGATGAGCTGTGGGGTATATATATTCGAGCCACCGGCTCAAGCCAGGGCAGACCTCACGCATCCAAGTAAGGAACGCGTGTCTGTCAACCACATTGTGAGCATTGCCTTCATCGTAGGTGAGGAGAATACGGGAGGTGTCCTGCTCATAGTGCCGCCACCACTGCCTCGCCAGGAGGGGCATGACCTCAGCCCCAGCTGGCACACCAACGGCAAGCTGGCAAGGCAGCAAGTGTTCCCGCAAAGTGTCCATCTCAGTGCGCAGCAGCGCCTTCCCGACCAAGCGGCGTAGAGCCTCCCCCGAAGAAATGGGGCGAGCGTCCGGCTCGCCAAACTTAGTCGTCTTCTTCAAGGCAGTGCCTTTGGCACCGGCAAGGTAAGGTTGGAGCTCCACAGGCGCGCCCCCACCAGCCAACAAATTCACCAGACCAGTCAGCACAATCGTGAAGGCACGAGCATCCGGCCCATCACAAGCGAGCTGCCGCAGAAAGTCAGGGCGCAGCCCGCTGGGTCCGGCAGCCACCCCTTTCTTAAAGCTGCGAAGCGCAGCGAGCACCTGTTCTTCACCGAGCTCATTGGCATCAGCCGCCGGCAGTCGGCGAGAAGCGTGCTGCTGAGCGGGCGCAGCAGGGAACTTGGAGCGCATAATGCCCTCAGTGTGGGCGGTGTCTGGAGCAAGGCCTTCACTCCAAAGGCGTTGCACCGCTTGCCCAGGGAGCCCCTGGAGACGCTGCGCGGCGGCATCGGCATCCTCGGCATCACCACGGCGAGGGCGACGTCCAGGCCGGCCCCCCCGAGTCGCCTCATCCCAAAGGGCGCGGCGTTCCCCAGCGAGCCATCGCTCCAGGCGATTGGCCAAAATATTCCCATTCCTCTTTTGCTTGGCGGCGCCGCCGGGAAGAACCGCCAGACAGGCCTTGGGGAACATCCAGAGCTCAGTCCAAGCCAGGCGGGCCCGTTGATGCGCCAACGTGTCGGTCCCAGAACGCACCACGGACCAAGCATCAGGACGGTGGCGCAGAAGGACTCCAGCGACACATTGAAGGAAGGCTTTGCTGGCCTTCGGCAAGATCCCAGCCCCCAAGGTGTCCCGCGTGTCCACCGGCGCAAGGCAGATTTCATCCCAGTCCGGAAGCTCGCCGAGAAGGCGAGGCACGTCCGGGCTGCCTCCAAGCACCAAAGGCGCAGCAGCGGGGCCTGCACGGCGAAGCTGCTGGGCCATGCAAACGCGGTGCACACCATTATTGCAGCGACGACTGACAGACCGGCCACAGTGCGGACAGATGGCCACGTTGTGACGCTGCAGCCACTCCTGGGGTGGCATGCCCGGCAGGGCCCCCAGAAGATGGGCATCCACATGCACTCGAAGGGAGCCAAGGCTTTGGCAACCTGCATGAAGGTCAGCCCGGCTAGCGTGGCAGGACGACACCGGGCAATGCTCCACCTGCCCCATGTCATCGTCCACCTCAGCATCAGGCATCGGCACATCCACTGCAGCAGCACAGGGAGGCAGGGAAGAACAATTTTGCGAGGCACCAGGGAGGCACCTGGGAGACTTGTAACACAGGATTGCCGATCAAATCCCGGCTTTGAAAGGGCTCCAAATTTTGTCTGACTTTTAATACAATTTCAATGGCGATCGGCCCGGTTCGCGGTAAATCCTGGGGTGGGCTCCATGGCCGGCTGCCCGTAGCACAGACTGGCCTTTGAAATGCTACTCCGGGAGGCACCAGGGTAAGAGGCACCAGGGAGGCACGAAAAGATCATTTGGAGAGCCAGAGAGGCAGAAAAAGACTCAGTGGACACCAAGGAGGCAGGAAAAGATCGATTGGGCATGCTAGGCACAGGGAGGCAAGAAGGATCAATTGGACAGCCTACGAGGCACAGGGAAGAACCATTTAAACAGCTTACGAGGCACCAGGGAGGCAGGAAAGGATCAATTAGACAGTTTCAGAGGCACCAGAAGAGACACCAGGGAGGCAGGAAAGGATCAATTGGAAAGCCTGCGAGGCACCAGAGACACGGGGTTTACCCCCCAAATGGGCTCCCCCCCCACGTAAACCCAGCAATAGATTTAATAATGAATTTAACAATTTTTTAGCGGGCGTGCAAATTGAATTTCTGGCCTCTACTTGGGGTTTACCCCCCTGGCCTTGGCAGATTACTAGCGTCATCTACTTGGGATTTGCCCCCTTGGTGTGGAGTTTACCGCCCTAGCCTTGCTTTGGGTTTACCGTTTTGATTAGGCTAAGCCTGGGGTATACCCTCCTTACCACACGGGGTTTACCCCCCAAATGGGCTCCCCCCCCACGTTTCGAGGCAAAGGCGTAAACCCAGCAATAGATTTAATAATGAATTTAACAATTTTTTGGCGGACGTGGAAATTGAATTTCTGCCCTCTACTTGGGGTTTACCCCCCCTGGCCTGGCCTTGGCAGATTACTGGAATCATCTACTTGGGGTTTACCCCCCTTGGTCTTTGATTGTAAGAAGAGAGATGGCACATGTTTGTAGTTCCTAGTTTAGGAACTAAACCCTAAAAGGCGGAGCGAACGCCGGGTGGGAGTCGCCCACAAGCGGCGCGGGAGGGAAAAATAAAGGATGCGGAAAACAACCCCCGGAAACGAGTGCCGCGGCGCTTGTGCCCAAGCGGCGACGAAGACATACGACGAAACGACCCTCCGGCCGCGCCCTCGGTGCAAACCCTAAACTGAAGCGAGGGCGCCGTCCGATACGGGCGCCCGAGCGTGCCGAAGCCCGGAGTCAGGGCAAGGCGGTGCCGGAGCAAGCGGTCGAGCGCAACGAAGGCACTGAGCGCCCCGGGCACGTCAGTGCCCTGGCAAGCGGTCGAGCTTGCCCTAAAATGAATAACCCTAAACCCTAGGACGGAGCGTGGCAACCTCGAACAAAATGCTTGGCCAGGGCTACCTGGAGCCTCCCGGGCTGTTCAACTGGCTTCCTGGAGCCTCCCGGGCTGTCGAATTGGCTCCCTAGAGCCTTCCGGGCTGTCCAATTGGCTCCCTGGAGCCTCCCGGCTCTCTGGAGCCTGCCTCCTGGCTCCCTGGAGCCTCGGGCTGTCCAATTGGCTCCCTAGAGCCTCCCGGGTTGTCCAATTGCCTCCCTAGAGCCTCCCGGCGCTCCGGAGCCCGCCTCCCGGGCTGCGCCAAGAGGTCTCTGAAGCCTCCCAAGCTGTCCAGCTGGCTGTCTGGAGCCTGCCGAGCCTCCCCGGCTGACCAAACAGGTCTCTGGAGCCTCCTAGGCTGTCGAACAGTGATAGGTTTGGGCTGCAGCCTCGTGTCCAATGCTTGCGCCTGGCTTTCTAGAGTCTCCCGGGCTTTCCACGTGCGAGGCCGTCGCTTATAACAAGGTCCTTGAAGGCTTCCTCCGCTGAGCAAATTTCAATGGCGACCGGCGCGTTTCGTTGCAAATCGTCGGGTGGACCCCACGGTCAACCCCAACCTCTCCAGGTCTTGCTTTGACAGATTACTGGAGCCACGCACGTATCCGACCTTGCCTTTTAGTCCCAGTGCCAAGCCTTAGAACGTTCGCTGGGCTTGACGACGTCGTTTGCAACCTTGCCTTTTAGTCCCAAAGCCAAACCTTTGACTGATACTCTTCCATTGCAACGGTCCAGGATCGCGCTCGCCCAATGCCAAACCTTGGAACGCTCGCTGGGCTTGACGACGTCGTTTCCAAGCTTGCCTTTTAGTCCCAAAGCCA